TTGGTTTTAGGAAAATAAAAATAAAATGTTATATTACTGAGATTGGGAATCACAAATTGTTAGAGTGCTTAGTTTGAGTGAGTGCATGTTTAGCTTAAGCGAGCAAGTGAGTGAGTGTGTGTTGTTTAAGTGACCAGGGAAACCAGTAACTGAAAGGACGAACAACAAACCATGTCATCTGGGTAACATTATGCCAAATATTTAAGTCACAGCATCTGATCACCTGAGGCCCTAGTTATTGCAAGGCCCTAGTTGTTGTGAGGCCCCAGTTGTTGTGAGGCCCTAGTTGTTGTGAGGCCCTAGTTCTTGTTAGGCCCTAGTTGTTGTGAGGCCCTAGTTCTTGTTAGGCCCTAGTTGTTGTGAGGCCCCAGTTGTTGTGAGGCCCTAGTTCTTGTTAGGCCCTAGTTGTTGTGAGGCCCCTAGTTGTTGTGAGGCCCCAGTTGTTGTGAGGCCCTAGTTGTTGTGAGGCCCTAGTTGTTGCAAGGCCTAGGTTGTTGGGAGGCCCCACTTGTTGCAAGGCCCCACTTGTTGCAAGGCCTAGGTTGTTGGGAGGCCCCACTTGTTGCAAGGCCCCAGTTGTTGGGAGGCCCTAGTTGTTGCAAGTCCTAGGTTGTTGCAAGGCCCTAGTTGTTGGGAGGCCGTAGTTGTTGGGAGGCCTTAGTTGTTGGGAGGCCCCAGTTGTTGGAAGGCCCCAGTTGTTGCAAGGCCCCACTTGTTGCAAGTCCTAGGTTGTTGGGAGGCCCCACTTGTTGCAAGGCCCCAGTTGTTGGGAGGCCCTAGTTGTTGCAAGTCCTAGGTTGTTGCAAGTCCCTAGTTGTTGGGAGGCCGTAGTTGTTGGGAGGCCTTAGTTGTTGGGAGGCCCCAGTTGTTGGAAGGCCCCAGTTGTTGCAAGGCCCCAGTTGTTGGGAGGCCCCAGTTGTTATGAGGCCCCAGTTGTTGCAAGGCTCTAGTTGTTGCAAGTTGAGATTTACCTCAAAGATCATGGTGATCCTACAGACAATGGTTTGCGTCCCCTTCTTTGACTAGACACCTAAACCTGGAGGTTCCTCATTTCTCATCGCCGTCATTATCAGTGATGATGTAAGGTCATGAATCTGTGTTGGCCATCCATGTGTTGACACAATCAATCGATGAGGGAGATGGTTGGAGAGCCAATTTATAGAGTATACAAGGTTAATCTTTTACACAAGTACATTTGAAAGCTGTAGTCCGTGAACAGCTGTTTATCTAACTTGATCAGGTGATCACATTTGAGGTATTGATTTGCTGTAGGCAGTGACGAGTGACCAGTCACCAGTTACTGCTTACTTCAATTACCTTTGATGACTCCGATTACTTAGCGCGGCAGTGTATCCACTCCCAGGGTTCAGATGGCAGGCACAATCAATGCTGGCTGAAGACCTGATGTGTCTTTGGCTTCCATGATTTGTTTCTCTGACAGGAAAGTGTTTTCAGGGGTTGAATCCAACCTTCATTATCTGTGATGATGTTAAGTCATTGATGTTCAGTGTGGGTTCCTCATGTTGTTAAAAATAATGACAACCACTGTTATTTGTTTGTTTGTTGTTCAACGCAGCACTCAGCAATATTCCAGCTATATGGCGGCGGTGTGTAAATAATCGAATGTCTGGACCAGACAATCCAGTGATCAACATCATGAGCATCAATCTACGCAATGGGGATATGATGACATGCATCAACCAAGTCAACTAGCCTGACTGCCCAATCCCGCTAGTTAGGGCTGGGACGGGTAACTCGGGTACCCGGGACGGGTGGGTACTGAGTAGGACCCGGGTACCCACAGGACTACCCGGACCCGTGGTTAGTCACGTGATATATTGTTTAATGACAAAAATTATCTAGAACTCTATGGTAACACCTCAAGTCACCAATGTTCACATTTCTTTCTGACTATGCACCCTGTGTGATTTTTCATATGGTTGAATAAAGATATAACTTAATTCAACTTCAGTGTATGAATGAACAGATTGTTTAATACATGTATCTATAAACGTTTTGCCAGGGCTATGCTAAAAATATTCCCAATCAGACATTTTGAGACATCTCCTGAGATCTTCAGTGGGTATTCGGGTAGGGTTGGGTGATAGGGAGGTGGGTACCCGGGTAGTAAATTTGGACTCGTCCCAGCCCTACCGCTAATATCCTCTAAGTCACTTCTTATGACAAGCATGGGTTGCTGAAGACCATTTCTACTCCAGCATCTTCAAGGGACAGAAACATTGTGCTTGTGCTTGGTACCGCTATGATGGTGTGAATTTTTGTATGTTTTTCTCGTTTCAATCAACTTATATTCAAGCAATTCCCGTACAGAATCACTCTGTCAGTTCAGACCTACTTGATTTAGTGTGATGGGTGGTGGTATCTATGAGAGAAAATGTGCAAGTGTGACTAACACTTGTGATAATCGTCATAAACTATTCTGCACTTGACATCTGTCCATTGACTCAATGTAGGAAACAGTGACGTCAATTCAAAGGAAAATGTTGAAAGTAACCTGAAAGCCTTGATTCAAACTTCCTGATTTTGCTCAGTGCTGATGTTAGAACATGTCAGTGTTTCCTTCAGGGAGTGTGTCAAATGTTTTCATGTAATTTCTGACCTGTGAAGATCCGGGGTAGAATAGGTCTTCAGCAACTCATGCTTGCTGTAAAAAGCAACTATGCTTGTTGAAAGAGGCGACTAATGGGATTGGTAGGTCAGGCTTGCAGATTTGGTTGATGCATGTCATCATATACCAATTGTGTGGGGCGATGCTTATGATGTCAATCACTGGATTGTCTGGTCCAGACTTGATTATTTACAGATTGACATCATATAGCTGTAATATTGCTGAGTGCGGTGTTAAACATGAAACAAACAAACCATCGTTGCAGGGTGAAACTGAACTTAAGAAAGAAGATTTCAGTATTATCAAGTCAGAGAAGTTAAACCCCACTTTGGGGGGCACGGGTGGCCCAGTCGTCTAAGGCGCCATGATTCGCTGTGCAGAGACCCTTGGGCATGCCAGAAACATATGATTGTGGGTTTGAATCCCAGTTCGTCCCAATTATGTTTCTAGGTTTGTCAGCACCATACCTGAGCTCGTGGGTTTCACCAAAGTGGTAAACGTCTGACCTGCATCACTTTGGGCTTTCCTCCCACATTAGACTGACATGCAGTGATATAACTGGAATACTGTTAAAAGCGGTGTTAAACCCAACTCACACACTCACACACTTAAACCCCATTTCAACTCACCTTTCCACAAGTATAGGCTAATAAGAAATACTGAATTTGTTTTGTAAAAAATGCTATAAGATGTTTACGAAAATTTTGGCCCATCTGGGTCATTGGTGGCCACTGGTGACACAACCTGTGAAAAATGGACACGTTCATGCCTAATTACAAACTCAACACAGTTATTCGTTACCATGGCAACATGTCCAACTGTGAGATTGTCGGATCTTGTTGCTGTTGTTGAAGATGACAAGTGACGATGGCTGGAGTATTGGGTGATGTTACACCTTATCCTTGTAAAGACTCGTTAGGAGAGGATGTTGAAACGGCTTTATCTCGGAGACAAGTGACTACAAGATGGATTAGCGTGTCGTGATCAGATGGACTTGTCCAACTCTTGGCATCAGGGTGTTTGTACCTACAGTAAACAAGGCCGGCGCAGTTTCATGCATATGCATGTATGGGAATGTGTCAATGTAGGAATGTCAGGGTTGCTACAATGAAACATTTGTAGCATTTATTTTCAATCAAGCATATACTTGTTGTATGTTCAAGCAGGAATCTGCTTTTTCTAAGTTGTCCATTTCTAATGACAGAGTATTTCAGAAAAATTGAAAAATCATCCGTCGTTTAGATTGAAGGTGATTTTCTGTTGTGATAATTGTGACATTTCATTGGTTGTGATGAAAGAAATTAATAATTTGAGGTAAAAAAGTGAAATTGTTGAAAAGAGCATATTTTCATACTTGGCTTTATTTTTTTAAATATGGATTTTGGTTTTGGTGGGTCTATTTTTAAATATAAAAATGTTATATCGGAAGATTTTGTAGCTATTAATTGGTAGAGTTCAGTTGGTTTAATAAGTTGCACAGAGTGTAATTTTGTCAAAATTGGTAACTCTCACCAGTTCACCATCTTCTTACAGCAGATCAAACTAACACTATTGATGCCTGAAAGTAACCTCATTTGTCAGAATGGATACATTTTCTTAGATGCTGTACTTCGACTCATAAAAAGTCATAATTGTTATTGTTTGACTATTGAATGTCGACTAAATGTTTTCGTTCTTGAAATAGCAAGACCATGGAACACAATTTCCAGGAGACAATTACACACGGTTATCTTAACCTCTGCCTATAAGACTAGAGTAAATACAATTGAAATTGTAAGTCATCATGTATAGCGATGTTTTAAAGATAATTTTTATGTTTTCATGGACCAAGTTTGTTATCTCCTGTTCATTCAACTGAAGCAATTGTAGTTTTTGGCTGCACACAAAAATCATATGGAATAGCACTGTTTCCTGAAACTTGTAGTCAAGAATGTGATGTGCTTCACACTCACAGGACACACTATACACATGAAAATAATTTGGCCCCATAAATCCATAATACAAACATTTTTTTATTGATTTGATTAAAAAAATTACAATTCTCAATTTTGTGTTACCATACTCACAATATTGCATCTTTACAAATACAAGTTTGCAAAAAAAGTATGGCTGTTTGAATCATTAAAACTAGCCAAAATTACAGACTGAATGTTACATATTAATAACTTTTCGTCATACATCATACTTACCATGCTTACCAGTCCCTCATGTCTTGGACGCTCTGACGTCAAAATAGATATCCCCAGGTAGATCCCTCCATCTTACGCTTCAGATCAAACACCAGCTGACAGAACTTTCCAGTTCCAGAATTCCACTTTCACCAAACTAAATGATTATTTTGTTGTATTCTATCATTTTTGTTTCTTTACAGAAAAACATGACTTACTCAGTTCACGAAGCCAAATTCCACAAGTCAAACGCCATGACAACCTCGAATTCTGGACTTAGCGGCCAGCTATACCAAGTGGAACAAGTGCCAGAACATTTCCACGAACTCTTCATTCTTCGAGGATACAGACATCCCAAAAGTTCAGCCAAACAATGCATCCTAAGTCTGTTTGATGCTACAAATGAAACTCTGAATTTCTGGACCCATTTCCTTCCCTCCTGGTACTTCTTGTATGTAATGAAGGGCCTAGCTGAAACCTTGGACTTCCGCCATGACAGCTACACGTGGCCATTGCTTGCCTATATGTTCGCCTGCTGTATCTTTCCTCTGGCAAGTGCTGTGGCCCACACGTTCAACACGATGTCGGAAAATGCCCGACACATATGTTTCTTCCTGGACTATTCTGCGTTGAGTTTGTTTAGTTTCGGTGTCGCCCTTGCCTACCGTGCTTATGTCTTCCCAGTCAGTCTCAGGAACACTTGGTACGCCGATTTCTACATCGTTGGCGCCGCCGCCAATGCCCTGGTCTGTACCATTGCTGCATGCGAAACACGGTTTATGAAGTCTGGTATTTGGCGGAAGTTTTTACGACTTGGAGCTTTTGCCCTGCCATATTTTTACGATAGCATTCCTGTCGTGATCCGATTTTCTACCTGCACACCAGAAGAGTGCCAGTTAAGTGCAAATTATCTCCACTTCCGGCAGTTTGTTTTTGCATTTTTGGCAGCATTCTTGTATTCTACACATCTACCCGAGCGTTTACACCCGGGTAAATTTGACATTATTGGCCATTCACATCAGCTATTTCATGTGAGCTCAATCATGGCAACTTTCGACCAATTGCAAGCTGTGTTACAAGACATGCAGGAGCGAAAACCTATGCTCCTACCAGAATGGAAATTTTCTTCATTGCGAGATAGCATTGGCTTAATGGCAGGACTTGTTTTGATAAACACTTTTATTATTCTGTTATTTTCTCTGAGACTTTTGCGCAGAGCTAAAAAAGTTGTGTAAGGTGTGGATAGTAAGAGATTTTTGGAGATATTTTCATATGAAAGGACCACGTTAAGGGGGAAACCCTGGCTGCCATATTGTTTGTACAATGTTTTTGTTACCACAGTCTGAGCTTGGTGAACAATGTGTTACTTTGCACGTTTATTGTTGATTGTTGTTGAATATGTGAGTTTGATATACCAATGTGCAGTGCCTTTGTCACCTGGTAGACGGGTTTCCCTTTTATCAAAAATGTTTTTAATATTTTTTGAATATCATAAGCAGCTTTATGTGATAACAGCTAGTAGTGATAAGCTTGCTTTGTCCATGCTCAGTGTTATTGTGTGCCATTCTGCAAATTAGAAGCAATAACAATATACTTACAGTGTTTGAAATTTAGGGGGTCTATTAATTATTTTCCTAACATTAGTCTTATGAGACGGACCCTGGTCCTTTACTTTCATACCTAATTTCGAACACTGCTTATCAAAAGATTATATACAAAGGGGCCATGTCAAAAGCCTGCATCCTTTTTTTAAGATTCATTTGTTATTTGAACCCTAGTGTTTAAATGTGGCTAGTATAATTATCATATTCAATCAATCTCATTAAAATCAGACCTCAGAGCGTCGTTTACCAGATTATGAAAGTGACCGTCGGAATGTGATTTCTCATCATGCAACCTCGAAAACTTGGGGTAACATGGGGTATTCCGAATGACAGTTACGGGTTTAACGACTGAATCCTTACAATCTAGACCATCTATTAGCCATTCCAGAATGTTTTTTTGTTCTGGTTTCAAATTTGTAATTGAGTATTTGTCAAAATATGTTTCGAAGCGTAGTTGCCAATTTGAATTTAGTGCCGTAAAGCATGAGAAAGCTGCCTTATGATTGGTCATTCCATTGGTCGGTCAAAGTTCGCACAAGGTCGGCCTGACATGACCTGTAATGGGATGTCCTCAGATCTTTGTTTAGTGGTAGCGAGAACTAAGATCTGATTTTAATGACATTGCATATTCAATGAAAACATTTATCTGTTGTCAAATTAAGACAGTAGCCATCATAAAAACATGATTTACTTTATAAAAGTTGTTGAAATGAACAAAAAGAATGTGTGTTCCCACACCATCCTTTCAAACTGTTTGCCTGGAAATGAAGTATAATCATCTGGCACAACTCCTTGTGTCTACCCACATGCCTTTTTTTAATGTAGCTTCAGCTGCCAAAAGCAGTTACGACCTTTTTTCTTGTGGAGAGAACACCCAACATGAAAATAACAGCTATTACTCCTGAAAACTTCAAACGTTATGACTTGTATTCATCTGTTATAATACTAAATCTTCCTGTTCCTGGATAAACCGATACTAAACATGATATGGCTGCCATGGAAGCCATTTTGAAAAAGTAAATGTTTTACTTGTCATTGGATTTCTGCAAGGATAGTGTGTTTCTCTAGCTATTTCGATATTGTCCAAATTCATTTCTTTGCACAACCTACAAGTTCATTTTCAGCAAGGTGAACGATGGCGCCAGTAACCAGGTATATATTTTGATGGTTTTCACATATTTTTGCAGATGTTGTATTTTGAGGTGTCGCATGTTTGTAACCAACGTAGAGATCTCAGGTTTAGATATATCAAAATCTTGAAAGAGCTGTTAATCACATTGTAATGTATTTTAGATGAGCATTTGATATAACTTGCATTTCTTCTGCAAACTGTTTGATATTGTTTTTACATGCACATATATATACAGTACAGGGTTGTGCAACAGCAGTTGTCAACACCAGAGATGTGCTGGGGTAGGTGTCAAGAGTACACCTGTGCAGGTGGTAGGTGTCGAGAGTACACCCGTGCGGGTGGTAGGTGTCGAGAGTACACCCGTGCGGGTGGTAGGTGTCGAGAGTACACCTGTGCTGATGTGTAGCTGGGGTGAAGATTCCAAGGTTCACAACATCTTTTAAATGTCTACACGCTTGCCTATTGCTCATAAAAAATAATTCTTTTGACATTGTTAGTGAATTTTATTTTTGAGAATAAATGAGATTATTTGCAGTAAGATAATTGGACACCGTTTATTAGTTTCCCCATAAAACATAGGTTTGTTTTTAAATTTGACTGACACCCCATGATTTTTATAGTTACGGGTACACAAAGACTATTGGCTTTAGGTCTGATTATTACATGGATTTTCTTCCAAATGTCCCTTGCAAATTTGTGTGGCTTTCCGGTATGTCAAGGTCAAGGTTACAAGATTACTCACACAAAGGTTTCTGTTTACAGTTTCACAAAAAATATTACAACATTTCACATTAAGCTAGATATATACCTTCTCTAGAATGGGGGCCTCCTTTGAAGAGGGTTTGGTCACGTTTCGTCATAGGTCAAGGTCAAGGTCAGTGTTCAGGTTTTTGTAGGACATTGTAATGTCATTTTCAGTTTTTGAAGCATACTTTCCTCAACAGGCTTGGAACTTCATATTTTCATGTTTCTTAACCAATCCAACCACATCAAATATCAATTGCATTAATGGCAGAGGTGAAGGTCATCATGAGGTTACTGTGAACTATAGCAAGCTCCTTCCCAGCGTGACACCTTCATTACACTCTCGATAACATCGCTACCATCAGTGTGGAAGCGGCCATTACAACAATATTGATATTTGCCCTCTAACCCCAAATGTAGTCATGTTTTTGGTTATGTTTATCTTTGGGAATGCCATCATAGCAAATTTTGAAAAGGTTTACATCTGACCAGAGTTCCCAGATGAATTTACCTTTTTTTTGTTTAATCAGATTGGGTTAAGATTGCAGACGAACAGAAAAGCACCCAATTTCCCCCTTACATTCTTACTATACCAATTACATGATAATTCAAATGAAATAGAAATTCAAATTGATAAACAAAGAAAACAATTTAGCTGGGGTAAGAGTATTTGGCGTCACAGCAGCCATCGCTTGTTTGTAAACAAAACGGTCAGCCATTTGCTAGTTCAACTCCAAGCATGGTTGTAGCCACCTATCACAGAGGGGAGCTTTGACTGGTGGGAGCTTGGATATATAGTTGTATGATTCATTGCCAGTCGCACTTTAGCTAATAGACTCCTGGAAATTTGGGTTGGACCGTAATGAGTTGTGTTTATAAAATGAAGGACTGGAGGTGATGTTTGTTCAATTGGAAGTACAGTACATGGTATATGAATGACTTGGGACTTTAGGGGAATTGACTGCTTATGTTTTGAAAGTACTTGCAAAGGCCTAGTTCTTTTCAATTATACTCAAAGAAATATATATTTCATGCACTTTCATACACATTGTCAGGTATGGTGTCTATGTACAGATATCTTGTTTTTGTTTTCAACTGATATTGTTCAGAGTGCATGTTTTGTCCAGGTGTCTATAAGAATCTCATAAAATTCTTACTCTGAAGTGAGAATTTGAACTATTTTTGTAAATCGAGGTAGGCACTGGTCATGTATGATAGGGAGGGGTGGGGAGATTGGTATTTTGCTTTTTGCTGTTGAACACCCACCCATTTAAAAAAAATACATGTCACTTCTTCCCCCCCCCCCCCCCCCCCCCTGCCACAATACTTTTGAGAACGACCCCCACCCCTCTCTTTTGCCATGTCATTTTTTCATGGCACAAACACACACATAATCTCACTGTCCGTCCCTCCCCTAAAATACACGACCAGACTCTGACATGGATGGTTTATATACAAGTAGATCCCAGTGAGTGTATCACAGTTGTATTCAAGTAAGATGTGTTTTGTATTCTAAAATCTTCTGAGGCCAAAAGCCACACTCAGGGCCGAAGACGTTAATGTTATGGCTCAGTTATTGGTATCATAACAAAATGTTTGTGTCTCATGTCACTATTTTGCTAGACAGTTTATTCATGTCATCAGCCAATCAAAATATTTTCTTGATACAACACCTTAATTTCCCCCCCCGACGTGTTTTGTGGATAGGCAGGTTCTTACACTTACAAAACTGGATTGGATACATATATTTTTTATTATATTTTCCTCTATAAAATAACAGTACTGGTAAATACATTTCCTTAACTTGCTTGAAGTACAACATTGTGACGGTAATATATTATTATCATCATCATCATTATTTTTACTGGTAACTATATTATTATTATTACCGGCAACTAGTTTAAGATTTGTGAATCATTGTTTCTCAGTTGTAGGCCTAAATATATCCGTAATTTAAGATGCAAATTACTCAGGGTGTTTAGAAAATGAAATGGACAGAAACGAGAATGAACTGACTTGTTTGGCCTTTGTAGGACAAATTTTCAATATGGCATGTATGGTGGCCATTTGTCAAAGGGAGACAACTTTTTGGTAAATTCAACCCACTTGCAATCTTAAGCAACAATCTTAAGGACAAGAACTGTCCACTCGGAGAGCTGCAAAATTAATTCTATATAACCCGCCATTGGACAACTTTGAAATGTGTTGGACTGAGAAATAATGATATGTGAAACCTTTGACAAGATGATGTTGAATAAGTATGTACAGTAGTTTTTATGAGTTTGACATCTTCCCCAGTCAAGAGAGTTAACTGACTATAAAAGTCCAGTTTTCACCCTTGCCGAACTGGGCTTGAATTACGGAGTTATGTCTTGGCTGGACTAACTAGTCTGCATAGTCAAATCAAAATCTTGTAACAAAATTGATATTCCGGTTTGTAAACTGCTATGCAGATTTCAGTCGATTGCAGGATTTTCAAAGCATGTGTACCGACAACATAGCATCTACAGATATTTTCAAAATCATTTCATGTTGTTAACCAAGGTGCTCAAGTGATTTGATGCACTTCGTGAAGTAAGACCCTTTTTATTACAATCTTCACTGGGCGAAGCCATATTATTTTAAGCAAATGCAAGAGATATGAGAGGTGGAATCTGATTGGTCAATAGGAGGAACATAGAATGAACATAACTTATAATAGCCACTGGTGGCGCTACGATTGAGCCCAGATTTCCAACCTAGTTCAGCATGGGTGGAAACTGGACATTTTTAGTCTGTTCACTTGATGGGAAGATGGGAGTTTGATAGTTACATGTGTATCTTTGCAGTTTAACAAAAGTGCTTTTCATATATTTTTGTATAAACATTGTACATCTATAGTTGGCAGTTTTCTGTAATGTTTTATATTTTTTATGAATATCTGTTTTTTATGGTTAAAGGATACTTATTGCTTCTCATAGTTACTTATCTGTATACTCTTTAGTGAGGGTGCCAACCCTGTCCCCGGAATCCTGAATACCATCTCACCCCCTGAATGCCAAATACTGCTTAACACAAATCTCAGAAGCATTCAGTAAGACGTGCAACTTGAAGTTAAATTACTGAAACAAATATAGAAAAGATATAACATATGAAGGACATTTTGACGTACACCATTATTATTTTTTAAAATGGCGAATCTGCATTCCAAATAATAATTTATTTGCGCTTTAGTCCTGAATACCCTCTAAATGACCCTGAATCCCAGGTGGTAGTCTTTTCATTGGAAGGATGTCATCAAATCGCAAACCTATAGTCTTGCCATCAAAGTAGGTTATATACATACCACCGGCGTAGCCTGATATCACATGGTACTTTTTGGTACACAGCGGTCGTATTTGTGTGAGTTTATATGTGTTTTCTCAGATGTAACTTTGAGAGAAATCATACATATTTAGGTGCATAACCTTGTTTG